GATTCGCAGACTACGACGTTGTACTTAAAGCAAGTTCTTTCGTACTATCGTGGGAACTATCTACCCGCTAGAAACAGCGAACACAGCGTGGCAGCACAAATGGCCGTTCTGTGGAGTCGTGCATTAATTAGTTATAAAGAAGGAAAGTTAGGATGCCCAGCCCCTACCATGACCACTTCCCAGTCTTTCCAAAGTTCGATATCCGATAATGGGTCTCCAGCAGGCCCCTCCTACCTGGCGCTCCGGAAATCTAGTTGTATATTTCTCCTTAACCACCGCTACTTCGGTCTCCGGTCGGCAACTCTAGGATGAGTGGATAATGTGAATCCCTCTTGCTATCCGGTGGGTCAACTGCGAGTATGAGTGTGCCGACACCACGCGAGAGGCGTTCGGAAAAAGTGTTTTTCCAGTGCCGAGCCCCCAGCTGATTTGCCAGCTTTCCAACATGCAATCTTTTTGCACACCCCCCCTTCAACCCTGGGCCTGAATGCGTCCATCGGTACTCCTACCGTACGGTATTATCCAGGCACGGGTATCGAAATCGCCTCCTACAATCCTGGTGCGGTCCTAACAGTGTTGCACCAGTAGGGGTGTAAGCGGCTGTTAGCCACTGATGAACCTTGTGCGGCTCCAGAGCCTCATCTTCCTGAGTTTGAGCAATCGGTACGGGCTAACTGTACCAAGGCTACCCTTCCAAACTTCTTTCATACAACCCTCGCCCCGTGGCTTCTATTCCGTACTTGACCGCCTCCCCCAGGGAATTTTCCTTCCATGATATTCTTCCACTCGTTTTCCCTGTTCCAAGGCCCTGAAATCGGAAAGGCTCAGAGCCGAATCTGTGAAAACATCACAAAGTACGCTGCCAGATTTTCATCGACAAGGACACACCGGGAGTGACTACCAGGAACTGTCTCCCCCTCGTCAGTCTGCCAATCTCGACCCATTCGAAAATTTTCCTTCCTCCAAGAAAACTGGGAGTTCCAAAGGAAAAAAATTCCCTGGACGGGCTTCAGCACAGACTACCTCGGAGAAAAATATATCAATAGTTAGAATACCCTGATCTGCGATTTCTTGTCACACATTCGCCTGGATTCCCACTCAGAAAAGAAATATTGAATACCAGAGTAATTCTGCTTCCAGTTTTGGATTCACTTCGATACAGGCAAGCGCCCCGGAGATATTAGCACCACTTCCTATCCCTGTCTTTCTTATCGCCTTCGACCTTCGATACCGCACTTGAACCCCCGCCTCTTCCGTTCATATCTGGCTCCCTGTCTTCCCCACCTCGCTTGGCTTTCGATCATACATATTTGGCCTGACCGTCGCCCACCGTTCCACCGAATGAATACGTATCCGGCCCAGCACCCGGATGGAGGAGGTCTAAGAGGTGTCCTCTATTTATCTTACTCCACCGCTATTCAGGTAGTTAAGCATGCTGTCAATCACTTTAGCTATCTCTTTTTCCCTTCACCTCCGCTACAGTTACCTTCCACCTCCCTTCCAATTCCCACCTTTCCCCTGCCCCAAACGCCACGACTTACCGTCGACTACCGCCCCGGTCATGCGCCACCTCCCGGGAGGGACTTAACGAGTGATGACACGTGTCCCGCGCATTGCCCCCTACAACCTGTAAGGCGGTCGGCTGTTCATATATATGCTCTAGGGCGTTGCAGGCTATAATGAAGGGTGACTTGAGCTTATAGCCCATCCGGCCCCGCCAAAACACGGGGGGTAGGCCGTTCGGTACTCTGGATAGAACCCTGTGAAGCTTTTATCCCCTTTGTTCCCCTCATTCCCCGCAGCGCATATGGGCTACTATGATACTTCATAAGTTATTACGGGGTTCCGTCCCTGTTTCTGCGACACGTCCATGGGTAGCCATTCTGGTTCCTTGCCATGCCCCCAAACGCACCTCTTACCCACGCAGCCTACCCGCAATCCACAAAAAGAGAGTTCGGCAGCAGCTGTGGAACCAAACATTTCTCCCTTGTTTCGTCTCTTAAGACTCATTCCATAATTACCTTCATTAGTGTTTTACCATTTTTAGGCCATGTAAGTGACTGTCTATTAGTCCCAGTCCACTTACTTTGCACCCATTTCTTTAGGCCTCTAATTCCGGGGGGAGGCCGGGGCGACAATTCCACACAAGCATCACGGCCTCTGCGCCTCCCGCCTTCCCCAGTTCCCCAGACATCGGGTCCTCAGCACCGCCATCCACTACCCCTCGCTTTCCCGGATATCACAGGACGAGACACCTCACTGTCCCAAATGAATCCCGCAGCCCCCGAACCCCTTCGATACCAAGGTCCAACCCGTCACCCCGAATCACTCGCTTTACCGGACAGATCCTTTCCATTTCTGCGGCCCAGAATAGCGACGGCCAAGGCGTAATGATACCCGGACCCACCCTTGCTCCTATAAAATGTGTTCTCGAGCTGCTGGGAGGCTTTCTGAGGCGAGCTTGGGGCAGCTCATGAAGGGGGTGAGGGGTTACCGGTGGAGGAAATATTGTGAAGAGGAGTACTTGCGGACTGGTTTAGTAGCAGCTATGGTTTGTCCTTCTTAATAGCAGCTATAGGTGCAGGCTTTCTTGCACCCTACAGCCTATAACAAACTTGAAAGACAGTACCCTGCTCCACACTTGCTCCCCCCCAGGCGTGCCGCCAGCCCCCAAACTCTGTACCGGTACTATGTTTGAAGGGAGAATGAGGAGGGAATAGTAGGAAGGATGAGAACCCAATAAGCACACTTTCCAAAGGGAAGCTTTGGAGATAGAAGGCAAGGCAGAAGGTGGCGTAGGTGAGCAATGGAACCCAAAGAAAGAGATAAAGTATAGTGAGAGCACAATCGCAATAGGCTCTAAGCGGCGCTGGGAGAGGGAGGATAGTGAGCTAGAATATCGATGGAGATATCATACTAGCTCAAAGCAATCCAGGAGATAGATATCTCCGTATCGCTAACAACTCCGGAAACCAAATGAGATATAATAAACCCCAGAGAAACGCCCTCCCTAGAAAATATCATGACCCTCCGTGATCCCCCGTGGCCCTAAGCCATCCAGAGCAATCCAAACCACTAAATCCTATGACCTATGCCCAATCCTGAGAGGCACGAAGTGTGGACCACGCAAAAAAGCAATCATACCGCACGCCTGATGGCATATGGTGCTGGAGAAACATTTTACCAAATACTCAACACCCGATACCCACCCGCAGCGAGTGTCAACAAAACCAAAACCTCGTAACCGCTCCTAGTAAAACACAGCGCGAGAGGAGAAACCTGCTGACGCCTGCCTCCCCTCTGCGCACCCAAAGTCTACATGCCCTATAACCGCACATCCCCTAACAGTATGCCCATTAGGCAATTCAATTGTGGGGCTCGGAGGAAGGGATGAATGAAGGAGTCGCCACATGCTCGGAGGGACGAAAGACGTAGAGACGGGGCGAGGAAACGAGGGATTTCCCTTTGCCATATCGTCCGGGACGAAAGGGGGACAAGGGGAAAAAAACAGGCAGAGATGTGAGGCAGGCTGCCGGAAAACAAACAGACATCAGGTGGATGGATGAGTGGATACTGAGACGATTTTTGCGGAAGACTCCCGGTAGAAAGACAAATAAGAGCTAGATAACAATCTGATTATAGCGACATATAAAGTGTCCAATTTTTTTTTTTTCTTTCCAGGCTGGTGTGTGATCTGCCTTATCATAGAGTGACTCAAGTCCTCAACAAAATTTTCTGCGCCGGAGAGGGAACACTGGAGGGGCGTGATAATGGCATCCCGGTAGAGGCGGTAAATGATCATGATGGGAAGGAACTATTGCATGTCCGTACGGGAACATACCAACCGGAGAAGAGAACGAATTTTAGTCAATCGTTCGTTCCTATTGTTTCATCTCATCGCACGTTGCCCATGAAGTCTGAAAACAAGAGGCCGTAAACCAATTCAGAGTTTCGTTTCGTACATAGTAATTCCACCAGCCTGCATAAAGTCCATAATGGAGATTGATCCACCGTAATAAGGCTCCAAGAGTTTCCTTCCATCAACTTCACTCCATTCTGCCAGCTCTATCAGGCTCTTGTCAGCTGGACCGAACACAAGAAGATACACATCGTTTCCAAGTAATATCTGTTTTTTTGTCCGGAGCTCATTCTGAAACATTGTTTAACGAAGTGGAGAAAGATCAGTTAGCAAGGTGAGGAAAAGAAAGGGAGGGAATAAGCCCAGGAGGCCCAATATGATGTCCAGCAAGTCCAAGAAAGCGAAGGGAGCTAATTTCTTAATTTGCGTTCTCCTACCCATATTCAACATTGGGCAAACCCGGAAGATAAGACAAGTTTGCTTGATGTTATATAGCTGGAGGAGTAATCGCTCAGTTTGCCTTCCTCGTATAAGCACCATACTTCTATGGACCGAATAACTTACCTCTAAGGACCACGCACTCCCGACCTGCTGAGGCCAATCCTGTAACTAAGAATTCCATCTATAACCCTACCGTCCTTATTGAAAAAGTTCCGGAACCCAATGCCCACAGCTCAACCCCGGCTTTGCCAGATGGAAAATACGAGTGCGGCCGATAAACATATTCGTCACCTGCCTTATCTAAGGACAAATTGCAGCCAAAAGGTGCACCGAAACTTTCTTATCAGACTCAGGTGACGAATATATGTATCGGCCGCACTCGTACAAAAGATGGTACACCCTAGAGAGTTGAGCTACCATATGCATATTTTTCACACAGAAGGAGTAGATCACGGATAATACCTTTCACCAAGAATAACTACTTTTAGAGCAGACTTAGGTGAATAAGGGCATAATGGACTTGGAACTAGGTGCACAGTTGGCTCATATGATGGTAGGGGGGGTTGGTGGAGATTTCCCCCCATCAAGTGAAAAAAATAATAGTGAAATCATATCCGACAGTAAACATCGGAAAATTGAGTCCAAGTCAGAATACCCCTCACTCCCCTCCTCTTAGATGGAAAAACAACAGGAAAAGTGCAAGCCAGGAATTGTTTGTATTAACTAGAGCTATTGCAAAACTGGTTATACAAACGGGCCTAGAATGGCAGGTCAAAAACAGAGCTCCATAGCAAACAAAATCCAACGCAGTGAGAAAATAGTTCCATGAAACTATTTCAACATGAAAGTTAGAGCAGAGACTATACTTGATTGAAGCCTGATCGTCAGGTCAGTATATGCCAGAAAAAGGAGGCCGTTAAAGGTGTATGAAACTTACCAAAAGGAAATAGGAGCAAAGAAGGGAAGTATATACCCGGGCGAGCATTATGTCACATCAAATAGTGCATCCGATCAAAATATGGTAGTTGATATAGGTAGGTTTCGAAAGGAATTGCTGCCGTAATTTGTTTAAAAAACTATCTCTTATGAATCTAAGGTCTCAAGCTTCAGGATAAGTTAGAATTGACTTACACATTTATTTCCACCCAGTCCAGCAAGATCACTAAGGGTCTGTTCGGATGCGACCGTTCGCGTCCGTTCCGTTCCGTTCCCCAACCCTTCCGTTTCGTAACGGTCGTTTTGTATGAGAAAACTAAACGGTCTCAAACGGTTCCATTCCTGCCGAACGGAGCCTAAACTATCCCTACTGCTTCGACCCAACCAACAGTTCGGCCTCCCCCTACAACACCCAAAGCGCGCCGAAGACAAAAAATACCGGCAAGCCAGAGAGACCAAGTAAAGCCAGTCAATGGTAGGGTGTCGTAGTGGATAACAAGTGTTGCTGAAAATGAGATTCGAAAAACCTAGTCAGAAGTTAGAAACGAAGTGCTTCAAATAACACACGGTTACACACCCATGAGTATTCTGTTTGCGAAGAGAAATACCATATTACCAGTAACCACAATAGCGTTTTGCTAGCACGTCCAGCACTACTGACAGCTCCATACCGAAAATAGGGTCAATTTTGGAAATAAAACTGAGGTAAAGGGAAGCAACTTAGAGGATAAGCTGAAATTTTATGTAACAAGCGGAACGTATAGAGTGTAGAGTGAGTTATGATAAGGATAAGAGGTTAGGAAAAGATAAAAATCAGCAAAAATTAGAAAGAAAAAACATAGAAATTATAAAAACAAACTTTTTCCACTACTGACACGCTCCAGTAGCATCTCTATTAAGAATGGTGATGGAGCGCTCAAATATCATACTCAAGGCGTTAACATCTAGCTGCAAGACCTGCAAAGCAATCTCATCTAGGTGATCACCAACATGACTCTGAATCGAAGCCTTCGTCTCTTCAATCTCATCTTGGCAGAATGGACAGATTGATTTCTCCAGTTGTACCTCAGTCTTGCATGCGTCCACCAGCCCTCCAACCTCAGAGCCTAAAAATGCTCCAGCTAGGTGGCCATAAACAATATGATGCACCATGTCACTTCTTTCAGCAAACCTCTGATTGCAAGGCTCTCGGCAAACAAAAATGGTAGCTTTTTGGGGACGGTGGTGTTGAAACTCATGCGAAATCCAGCAATGCTTTGAACCAGATGTAGTATTTGCCTCCGGGCAGCCACTGAATAAGCAGCTATACGGTTGAAGATCTTCAAACACATGTTTTCTGAGATATTAGTCAGGTCAAGCAAACTTTACCAACAGGAATACAAACTTCCACATTTCCACTGATTCAAGCCCGCCCAGTTGCTTGCCACATATAGGGCATGTGAGAGCAGACTGAGCCGAGAGAGTTTCGGCCGCGAGTTTAGGAAAATTCAATTTTCTGCTAGTACTCGGACAGACAGTACTAGGTAACTCAGGTGTTGCCAAAATTTGGGATCCACTATACAAAGGATCTGGATTGCCGGGATCGAGTATCGGAATCTTTTCTCCTCCAGAAACAGATCCTGCTAATCCTAAGTCTCTCCAAATTAGTAAGATTTCAATGGGGCCTTCTGGTTTTATCCTACTTAACAAGTCCGCCGAACTACAAGAGTCCAAGTCTTCCCTCTTCATATTTAATATCCTAACCCTGCGGTTCCAATTCAACTCAGAAAAGTGTACTGCAAGGTCAGCACTGATGCCAGGAAATTTTTTGCAGATCAGGTCTTCAAAGATCCTGACCCCCAGTTTTGTAGGTTGTGCAGCTTCGGATGTATCGTATGTCTTCACCGATTGAATCCTTTCTGATTGGTTTAACAGTGTGCTTGGAGGAGCGCGGCTGAGAACTCCTGGAGGTTGGCCATAATACTGGAGATACTTACGCTTTGTAGGCCAAAGAAGATCATTTAGATTGTCAATTCCAGACAGGGCCGACCCAACCAACTCGCTTCCCCTCTCACGCAAACCTTGAAATGTAAATTCCAGAAAACCTTTTGTTCCTGGCACCGAAGCAATTATTGTCTCCACTATACCTCCTGATCCCAAAATATCCTTGTATGAGCATGGTGGCTCAATAGGGTTTATCCCTTTTAAGTATTAGCAAGATATAGCTCGTAAACTGTATCAATAATGAGAAACTCACACCATGATGAATACACAGCAATAATGCAAAGGGAAAAGCAAGTTAGTTCCCGTAAATCTTCAACTTTAAGCCCAAGAAGCATCTGGTCAAGTTTGCCATCCATAACTGACAATTCAGCTTCCCAAATTTTAAGATCTTCTCTTACCACCTGCCATTCACCACTCATAGCATCATTGCCGTCAAGTTTTGACAGTATCTCTTCTAGAGTTTCTTGGCAAAATCTGTACAGATTGCAAATAATGTACTTCTCAGAGGCTTCTGTCAGGAGAGCTGGTTGTTTTCCTTTCTCGCCCGAGCCTCTAGATCCCAAATAGGACACTGTTAGACTTTGATCCATTTTGAAATCTAAGGCTCTCTCCTATACCAACTTAATAACGCTCCACATACAATGTACTCGATATTTTCAGAGGAGAAGTAAAGGTTCAGGCCAAATACCTCATTCGCCGATGAAACTTCAATGTTAAGAAAGTAATTGCGTATTACCGTTGTCTGTGATGTTGGGGCCGGGTTATGATTCAGTGTCCTGGTTACCATTAATATCCAAAGGTTAGTATAGTAATTAAATGTACCCACAGGTAGGATAGGATAGGATTGACTCGGACATACTGTATTATTGCCAGCGACGCTCCTAAGCGTGAAGAATGACTAACCTGAGGTGACTTGTTTTTTTTGGAGGAGTCCCTATATCAGAATCCGTGAACAGTATTGTGGTAGCTAGACTCGCAAACAGAGGGTTAGAAGCAGAGAACAGGGAAGCTTGTTGATGTACTTACTCAAGCTTCAAGAGGGCACAGCGATATCATAAGGTTTGTAGAGTTGCCGGTAGTTCCGGTATGTGTATGGAGGGGCGGTCCTGAGTGTGGGTATCGCAGGTGTCGCTGAGCTCGTTGGTGGTTGTGGTGGAAGGTGGGTTTGGTGGTTTAGGGTTATGATTATTTTTTTTTGCTAAATTTTCGCTTAATCGAGCATCCTGTTTAGGAGAAAGCTTGGCAGGTAGAAATTTTTCCTCCCCAGCCTCGCTCCACCCTCTTCTCTACATGAGGCTAGTATGATGACAAAGGCACCCCACCCCTACAAGGACACACACTGTTTCTTTTCCGTCACAACTGAGTTCAAGTTCCTCCGCTTTATCTCCCTCTTCACCATCATATTTTACCACCCTCTTTCCCAGTGAATATCCTTGTCCCTTCCCTGACGGTAGAGCTTGTGGTCACAAAAACCTTTCATACACCTGTGTCAGCCCAGCCAAACCCACCAGCCAACACCGGAAATCAATCAACAGAGACACTTCTATACCGGGGGGGGGGGTTTTTTTTCACCGGAAATAATAACATCCTGTGAGTCATCCTATTTCTATATTAGATAAGACTTACACTAACTAGAATTATGGCCTTCCCTTTGATAGAGCTAGAAACAAAATTGATTCAGCACAGCGGAGGACACCTCGCTTAGGTAAACGGGAACCCCAGCCCGGACCGCAAAAATCGCAAAGTAGATACATTCGATCAACCCGATCACAATACCTACCCCCTCCTCTACCGCAACAGATAGAATCCAAACATTGAAAACGGAACAAAAGAAACATTCATGGAGATTGCCGGTATTGTCCTAGGATCTGTTGGGCTAGTAAGTGATGCTTTAATAATGCTGTTGGTTCTATGAGTTCATATACATGCTAACAATACATAGGTAGGTCCAGCTCTTAGTGCTTTCAGGAGATGCATCCAGCCCCTATCCAACTACAGTCGTGTAGACAACCAGTTGGCCAAGATCTCTCGTAGTATTAGTATCCAGCAATATATTTACAAAGAGAGTTGGGCACTAGGGTTGTCACTTATCAAAATAGAGGAGAGTATTGCTACTGTTATGCTTGAGGACGAAGATTATCCAATGTGGAAAAATCCTGATTTCCTGAAACAGTCTACTAATACTTTAGGCGAAGGATTTAATATTGGTGTACAGCTAATACTAATCACTCTTGAAAAGATTGAAAAAAATCCTGAGCAGTACCATGGATGAAGAAACAATCAAGCAGTATTCATTCAAGCCTTTTGCTACCGAAAACATACAAACTCAATCCAGTGGGATGAGTAGCAGAATTGAGGTATGTTAATTTGTTTAAATTTTACTCCAATTATACTATAACACCCTATATTGTCTCAAAGTTTAATGCTAATAAAATCAGGCTTTAAAAGCAACCATATCGACTGATATGACCACCAACCCAGTTGTCTGGAGCTTCAGGCGGAAAAAACAACTTGAAATTCTTGTACAAGAGCTTCGGACTAAGAACAATGACTTAAAAAACTTGCTTGACCAAAAAAAAGCTACCGAGGAAATTCGAAAAGAAGAACCTTCCGCTCCGTTAAAACATAAGTTGGCTCAGTTACTTGCCTTCAGAGAAAGATCTATGATGTTCTCTAAAAGCCTCACAGCAATGCCCCCCTGTTTGTGTCACTGCATTAACCTTCAATTACAGTCAGATATTAGCGGAACACCTAAGCCAATATCTGACCAAAAACTGTCAGCATCTATCTCTCAAAACAATAACGTTATTCCAGCTATTATTGAAACAATCCGATACCTCTTAATTGTCACTAATAGAGATGACAATATTGATAACCCTCAGCCAGCTAAGAAATCTACAGGAAGATACTTCACAATTACTTCTGAACTTAAACCTGAAGAAAGTGAAAAACAGATGTTACTACTCAAAAACCCAATGGCAGAGTGGGTGAAAAAGGATGAGCTACTCCAAAAGCGAATCTGGTTTGCTGATAATCAGGTAATAGAAACTTCCTCACCTTGGGCTATTGTTATCGGTCCAGCAGGGACCGGCGCAGGTGAAGTAGTAGTATTGGACTTGAGGAGAGAACCGGCAGTTCCAGTTCCCGGAGCCATGCCAGATGCATCAGCCTTACCTATCAGTAATCCTGAAATGCGAGTGGACAGCCTCTGCTCCCTAATGGGACAACATGCTCCTAGAAGCTCCACGAATAACTTTCTTGGTCGGCTTAAAAGCTATAACCCAACTTGTCGCTACTCAATTTATACTAATCAAGCAGATGATTCAGAAATTACTATCAAATCTCTGCCAACTATTCTTAACCAACTTCTTCCAGATGACCGCTTCCGGATCAGCTTCGTTCTTGCCCAGTCACTACTTCAGCTAGGCTCTTATTCAGGGTCGTTCTTTCCAAAACAGTGGCGAAGTCATGATATTTTATTTTTTGAAAGAAATAATTTTCGCTCCATGGTAGATCCTATTGGTGTACCACATATTTTAATCCCAACTCCCACAAAACTACACCGCGGTGTAGAAACTGTGGATACTAGGGCCAGAGGTGACAGTAAGCACCTAGAATCACCAGCAAGATCAGAACATCTGTTTAGCCTATCACTGACCCTTATAGAAATCGGATTTGGAAAGCCATTCTACCAGATTGTTTCTGAGTCTAAAAATTTTCAACGTAAGGAAATGCAACTTGAAGGCCCTTTTGCTGAATTCATGATAGCAAAGGATATCTTAAAATCGGGGCTTCTGGACAGAAACCTGAGTACTAAGTTTGCCCAAATTGTAAAGAGATGTCTCTATTGTGATTTCGGGATCGATGATGATGATTTCTATAAGCATGAGTTACAGGAAGTATTTTATCATAAGGTTGTAGCTCCTCTTGAAGACTGTCTTGTAGAATTTGTAAAAAAAAAGTGATTGAAAGCCTAAAATACATAGCTTGTTTGCCCCAATAAATAGTAGTACTACAATTAAGATAATGAGATAGTATAATTGATGTCGCTAATTCTTGCATCCAAGCTGTTAAAGGTTTATACAGATTCAGAAACAATTGAATGAAACTTTTATAAGTTGTATATAGCTTCTTTTTTCTTGAGTGCCAGTGTAGAATAGCCACTACTTGCTTTTTCCTTTCTTTCCGCTAACTAGTGGAATCACGCTACTCAGCAAAAATAAATTAGATTTCACTTTCAATAGCGGGTTTGTGAAGAAATTTGCAGTTTCTGAATAGAGAGTTTACTCCACACAGGAAATTTCTTACTCATGGAATTACAAGTTATATCGTTTTTCTATCAACTTCAAGTTGCTTTCTTTACTTTAAAACTAACTTTTTTTATTAGCCTGACACTGATCACAAATGAAATTAAGCCCCGAGATATCCGTTAGTGTCTATTTAGCGGGAACGGTCGGCGGGTCGACCGTTCCGTTGAGTGATAATTTTACCTGGAGAAATGGTTGTCTTGGCATCTTCAAAACGGAAGGAAATAGTCGTGTCCAAATAGGCCCTTAGACCGCCCTTGTTTCTGTGGCACATCTGACTATAACCTTCTAGGCTCCTTGCTATTCCTAGTAAACCACCCCCCCCCCCTCCCCGTGGGAGACCAACCCGCAACCCACGAAGAGAACGGGCCCGTCTATGGCCATAGAAGTAATCCCCGTTCTCTTGTCCCCCCCCCTTGCGGTTCGCCCCATGACTATATTCATGTGTGTCACCGTTTTCTCTTCCCCGGGGCCCCCGAGAGATCGCCGTCTTTGCTAAAGACCGTCTGTTAGTCGCACCACCTTTCCCCTTTTCTTCGTGATTTTAACTCTGAGAAATAGGCCAAAATCGTGCGTTCGGGCAAAATCCCCCCCAACTTCCGAAGACACCAAGCCCTCAGTACAAGCACACCCTGCCTCCTGCATATCCCGAATCTCGCAAAGCCAAGTACTTCACAGTCCTAAATAAAGTGCAAATGCCCAAAAGCCTCTCACAGCAAAGCCTAACCCGCCATCCTGGAATACACAGCCTAGAGGACAGATTCTTCGGATTTTGGGGATCTGGGATAGCGACGGGCAAGGTGTAATAGTGTTTGACTGCATCACTCTCCTGTTTCCACTGGGTTTGGTTCTCCGGTGGAGGAGTTAGGTTTCTCCGACAGGTTTGGAATATCAATATTCTTGTATGGGTGTGCGGGGGAGGACGAAAGAAATATCCAGAGGAGGAATATGCTAGCCTGGTAAGAGTCTGAGATATGGAGTTCATTACACCGTTCTGCTTACGATAGGTTTAAAGGGACTCCTCCCCTCCGCACCTGCACACATACCAAGCCTACTACAACCAAATACTAGACTTTACTCGAGCACAAGGGGGTATAAGATGGCCCAGTGGTGATCACGAGGGAAAAATAGCAAGGAGGAGAAGCGGGCAAGTACACTATCTTCACCAACAGAAATTTGGAGAATAGAAGACACGAAGGACATGAAGAACATAGCGGATGGGCACCACTAATGAGGGCAAGAGCTCACCTGATGTGGAGAGGGGAAGGAAGGCACAAACACAGAGGGAGGGATCGAGTTACCACACTTCATCACATGGGCCAATGCGGATGAAAGCAAAGTAAAGAGATAGGGGTCGCGTATTAGAGAAATGCCCAGGAATAGAATGGAAGAAATTGCGAATACGATGGAGATTCTGGCTAGGTAAACCCCCCGAAATAGGAGGAACACAAAAGGTAAGATAGCTAAGTTATGCAGGAACGGCCATACACAAAGCTTCCTTGCTTTTCGGCCGGCTGTGATGTGATCCGTCATATCATGAAGAGCAATAAAACGTTCTATGCTCCAGCAAAGTGAGACTTGTACCAAGCAGCATCTGTTCCCCAGTAGACAGTAAAACAATGATAATGGGAATTGGTGAATACCCGTATCGAAACATATCAGCCGAAGGAGAGGAAGAATTCTATTGTTTTCCTTTCGTTCCCATTGTTTGCTCTAACCATTTTCTGTCCATATCAGGGAGGCCCCCCCCTGCCGGTATCCAAGAAGCCACAAGTCAATCAAGATGTCTACTGCGAACACACACAACCCCACCCATATATATGATGTTCATAATTATAATTAATTAATTGATCCTAACGAAGCTGCGAGAATTCCCTTCTATTATTTACCCTACTCTACCTATTAAATTTGGCTCCATTTAGTGAAATTAAATCAAAGAAATATATACGTAGCGCTTGCATGGAAGGGGCCGTCTGCACTGGCAATTCAAATACAGTTATCAATCTTTATTGCCGGTTATCCACACACGCATAGCGACCAGTAAAACATGAAGTAAAAAAGTTTGCATCGACTAGAACTATCCCAATACCGGAGATCCCCTTAGGGAGATCTTGGCAAACCAGGTGCTACATATATAGGACCTGGAATAGAAAAAAAGAATAAGGTTTCATAGAGCTGTTCCAGAGATTTGGGTGAAAATCCCACAGACCACGCAAGGTTGTAAGGGGCCGGCAACAAAAAAGACTGGCAGTAATGTCCAGAATTCCCTTAAATATCTCTCCAAGAACTCCCAGATTATTAAAGAATTGTTGGCTACTCAGGCAAGCAATATTGTAAAGTTGAAGCCTAAAAAGCATCAAGTCCGCCCATTCCCTATATCATACAAAGTCCTCAGGAAATACGCCAAGGCCAATGCGCCAACCATTGCTCTCTTTGCAATTCCTCAGCAAGTATAAATGCAGAGTTCTAAATGGTCAGACAGTAAAACTCATAGAATTGCTTCACATAGACGGGAGAATTTTTCAGAGATTGGTTGACTGGATCAGTGGTTCGCAAGTTTCGAGCCCCGCTGTTTTCAGAAGCCTTCACAAGTAGCCTGGCCGGCCTTTGTCTTTCCGGAGATGCCATGGGCTAACCACTGGCTGCAGTCAGCCTTCGGGGGTCCTCTGTTTCGGCCTAGTCAGACTGCAGTGTTCAAAAAAGGATAGTTTTGACAAAGAGAGGTGGACTATTTGTTGCTGCAGCGAAAGATTTATTGATTAAGTTTTCCCCTAGCGGACGAAACCAGAACAACATATAAATACACTGGTGCTGTACTTCGTCACCCATTGCCATCCCCCATTATACCTTGCATGTGTAGAAAACCTAGTACGCACATCCCAGATCTGTAACAGAGAATAGGAAGCTTGTAAAACTAAACTCAGGGTTCTAACATACAGTGTCACAAAATGATTGTTACGGAAGTAAGGATCGATGGTGAAGGTTTAAGCAGTGGAGTGGAATGGCTCGAGTGGAACCATGAGGTTTGACTTAGGTGAAGATGAAGACCATGATTTATTGTCATAAGGTGATAGAAAGGAAAAACTCGAAGAGAAAGGTGAAGTCCAGGAAGTAATGTCTCGTAAGAGAGAAAAAAAGAAAAGACAGGGATCAGAAGAATTTTCATAGCTTACGCGCCCTTCAGTAGTGCATATGTATGCCCCTACAACCTCCATGTGCGGGCACATCCCGCACCAAGTGCGGCCATCAATTGCTATTTCCAACCTGCAGTGTTGTCAGTATGACATAGGACACGGTGCTATGACTTCCTGATAGGAAAGGAAGAGTTGTGAGACGATCGGGACAGAGTGAAAGAAGAAGGATGTGCGGAAATGAAGGGTATGAGATGGATATAGTACTTGCCGTTTTCAGAAGTATCCGGATATCAGGAGATTGGCTTGGCAGCAAAAAGAACTACACTATCCACTGTATGATTTGCCCATATTGGGCAGAGAGCGAATTAAAAAAAAAGAAAAGCACTAAGATACCTAACAACACTCCTCAAGCACCTGTACTGATTTTTGATTTTCTCTCCTTGGTATTCTTACCGATCCTTTCTGTTAAGCGAAAGGACCGATAAATGCCGAGCTAAGCCCGACATCCGGATACTTTTGAAAACGGCAAGTAGATCGGGCCGAATGAGTTGAATTGGGGTGAAGGACTGCTTTATGGGATCCGAAGTACTTGTATATAAAGGTAGATAACTACCTGGTATCTGGATGGGTATGGGTGTGATGAGCGATATTATCTCTTTGCCTATCAAGGACCTCTATTTCTCTCCCTCTTCCAACATGCAGATACGGGAGGCTTCCGAGTGATTGGACATGATTACCCCTACTCCAGGAGTTTCCTGGGCACGTTCCAATAATATTCATTAAATGGAACACTGGTATAATATATGGGTCAACAGTCTCTGAACGTGCACTGCTATATAACGGGTGATACATTATCTTCGTGATAATTTCTTCCAAGCTTGAACTACTCATTATCTTATGGAGTGATGGTTTTCGATAATATAATATCCTAATTCACACCAAACCAGTTTCAGACTAGCCAGTCAAGAGGATGAAGGACACCCCGGGTACCCATCCGAGTATAGATGCAGAGTGAAATCTCATATTCCCATCCAAACAGTCGCACTTTTCCGGGCCATTAGGATAATGAGAAAAAAGATTTGTGTTGCGGAATAATTACAATGAAGCTCACAGATCTACCTACCATACAACTTAGGAACATACCGACCCACATGACATCGCCCAGCGCCCACGATATCCACTGCTTTGAACTTGTCGTAATGTCTTTTTACTTCTCTTTGTGTGTTCCAGGCCTGAGCTCAGTGTTCCCAACGGGCCGGGTAGGCCAGGCTGAACCGAAGCCGGGCCCGGCCTGCCACAACTATGGGGGATTTAGCCCGGCCGGAGCCTATAGGCTTTGAAAAGCCTGGGCCTGGCCTGGCCGGGCCCAGCTATAGGCCGTATAGGCTAACACCTGATAGGCCGGTCCAGCCTATATGGCCCAGCCAAGCCGGGCCCAGCCTATGAATACGGGCCTACAACCCGCTCAGATCCTTGATTTCCATTCGGCTCATCTCCCTTTCCACTAAACTAGTCATAGTGGGC